GGTCTGACCAGTAGTTTTTGCGTTATCCTTAATACTTTATATTGAAGTCGGTTGTACTTGTTGAATTTTTAATTTTACTACTTGTATATATTTTAACGTTAAACATCCAGTATTAAGAAGGCCTAAGTTTCGATAAAAGCCCTAAGCTTGGAACTATCTAACGCCAATTCGGCTTATAAAGACTGCCTCACACCAAGTTTACTACGAGTATTTTTGGAACGAAGTTCTTTATCGGACGGTACGGATTTGGCGGAAGGGGGCTAGGCGAGAAAAAGTGTAAGATTTTTCCGTCACGACCCCTTCTGACGTAGTATAGACGGCCTTGGCGGCTATAAGGAAGCGAGATGGAATAATATCCATCTCTCTCGCACTTTTTCTTATCTTGCCATGAAAGAAATATTATTTTATTTTAAATGATGCTTCATTTTAATAGACGCTAGTAATTCATTTATTTGTATTTGTCAATCAATAATATAATACGTTTATCAATGAAATAATCTAAATAATATACCACGAAAGGAACTCCGTTCCCACCGAGTTTTCCACGACACTCACGTGTGTTTTTCATTTAATACATACTTTTTACGTGGTAAAGCCATGCTGCAGCTATATTATGGTTGTAGCACAAATGGGTTAGTTCGACAAAGAAAATCGGTTATCGTGGAAATGTAGAGCTGTCAATGGGGCACAGCATCCGCTTACCAGCAAGTGGACTGTGTGCTTGTTCCTCGCTCTTCTGTTATATAGATAAAATTATAGAGGTTTGCAGTTGTGCGCGCATCACGGAAAAAGTACTGGATAGATTTCAATTAGACTTTCTAAGTTCCATTTCTTGGACACTTGGCTTGACTTATCTAAAAAAAAAATATTGCGTTATCTTCATTTAATATAAAGTTATTATGTTCAGTGATATGTTTAAGCCACGCGGACTCAGTTGCGGGTATCAGCTAGTTTTAAATAAAAAAACATTTATATGTTTTTACATAATTGAACGTGGTTATAATGTAACACATATAAAGTTATTCGAGACGAGAGATATTCATTCATATGCGACGGGTATATTTATTCCAAAGTTGGTCACGAATAAAACACAAACGTCAGATAGTTGTCTCCTTCGCCACAACGAAAATTTCAATATAAATCGATATTGCACGTTCTACTTAAATATTAATTGAGAGAGAGAGAAAGAGAGAGAGAGAGAGAGAAAGAGAAAATAGTTTAAAATCGATTACAAAATTTGTACCGAACAGACAAAGTACTTTGCTCTGTATAGGGTGTAACTCAATATCGGTTTCTTTTTTCTTATAGTCAGCACGCGAGCCTTTCAGCTAGGTAGTCTCGAAACGAACCGAAGCCTAAATCACGCTATCAAAGTTCCGAAGTACAGCTAGTATATATAGAATAGTTCCGAACTAACACACGGAGCGGTGGCCGCTTCCCAGGCTAAACACCTTACCGGTCGGGAGATCTCCTCTTTTCCTTTCACAGCTAAACTGCTGCTGACCCAGACTTGATATGAACACGCAACATGCAACATTCGGAAACCTCAACTTCAAGCTTTCGTCATCGTCCTTAAGTACCCCATCCATTCGCTACCGAGCAGATATTGTCTGCAGGCTTCAGATCCTGATCCAGAAGCCATCTAGATTTACAAGGTTCATCGCAGCACTGGAATAATACTTCCTGTTCCTTCAAGCTATTCTCTACGCTACAGTGTTCGGCATGGCTCTGACCCTTACTGCTCGCCTCTGCTTCACGGCACTCTCGCAGATTAATTACCTTCTTGACTCGGCGCTGACTACAAGGCAATTCCCTGGTAGGTACTTGCTCAATCGTCGACATCTAGACTGCGCTATAGACCACCGGTCTGAACAGGGGGGTTATATGGCTGCGCTGTAGTCGCGCCACAAGCGAAACGAACCGAAGCCTAAATCACGCTATCAAAGTTCCGAAGTACAGCGAGTATATATAGAATAGTTCCGAACTATCATATCGAGCATTGACCACTCACCGGGCTGAACACCTCTTGCCCGGTGGGAGATCTCCTTTCACGACCGAAGGCGAATCTTTTTTATAGACGTGAGGCAAACGAGCATGCGGCTTACCTGATGGTAAGTGTCAACTGGCGCCCATGAACAACTGCAACACCAGGGGAATTGCAGATGCGTTGTCGGCCTTTTAAGAAAGGAGTAAGCTCGTTTCTTGAACGACGCCGGAAACGCCGGAGTCGTGCGGGGAAGAAAACTCCTAGTAAATTGCACAGTGATGGACCACCAAGCATCCAGAATGTGTGGATGGTATCGTGAGTTGTGTCACGATGTGCGTTTATGATTGTGAATCTTGTCAGATTCTAAACCTCCACAACACAAGCATGTCTCTCCTCGAACCCTTCTCTTCCCTACCAATTACCTTCAGTTGTTAAGATTATCGAATATTATCGAACCTCAACTTTGGAGTTGATAAAGTCAAAAGCCAAAGCCAAGCCAAAGCAGCCCAAAGGTAGTAAGGTGTCCTTGCAAATATGCAACGGTATTGTCGCCGGGGCATTATTATACATACATTATATATTATACAAAGGGCAAGTCAGGTCGTACCGGTGCCACCTAGCATCTTCGGACTCCAGCAGAGAGGCGTGCTATGATTTTTATTGACGACTTCTATTTGGTTCAAGCTAATTTTGCTAGTCTCCAGCACAGGTGGCCTGTTTTTGCTTTCTATTACAATTTATGATAAAGGCAAGAGCAAATAGGTCTTTGTCTAACTAAAGCAGTATGCTATGATTTACCATTTTCGGCTACATGACCACTTACATTTGGAAGAACAGTCCAGCACTGGCTTAAAATAGGTACAAAAAAATTAAAAGAACTTTGAAAACTTTGAGTATGTACATTTTCTTCGTCCAAATTACTCGTTTTAGCTGAAATAAGAACATGTTTATTATACATGTTTTGTTAGATTTTTGACGCAGCAAACCCTCATTATTAACAACATCTTTTGGGTTTTCACTACTATCGGAAAAGCCTATTGAAGAACTGATTTCATTAATACAAATAAAATCCGTTATGCAGTTCAAATGATGATGTTTCGAACGATCCTGATATATCGAATTGGAACAAATCGGGATTAGTTCCGTATTTCATTAAGTTTAAATACTACAGACTTTGTTATAAAGAGTTATTCACTTATTTTCAGATTTTAGTCACATTATTAAAGACTAAAGTTGGAGAGCAAAACTGAAAAAACCAAATATATGTTATATAAGTTAAAGTTACAGCCTATAATATACGTCTCACAGCTGGGCACAGGCCTCCTCTCATATCTGGGAGGGTTTTAGGGCAACGAAATATCCGCCGCGCTGCCTTAATGCGTGTTGGCGGACCTCACATGTCTTCGTAATATATTATTTTTTCTTATTTCTCCGACATGCAAGATGTTTATATTCCTTCACCGCCGAGCACGTGGTAAATCAGCACTTAAAATTGCAATTAACAATTTCATTGCTTTCGGCGGAGATCGAACCCGGATTGCTCACGTACTGTGAAAATCCAGCGAGCGCTTAACCCCTGCGCTACCACGGTTCTTATATTAAACTATATGTACATATATTGTGTCATACTATATTTGTTTGGTCGAGACTATGGTTTGTAGCATAGCGCTATACACAAGTTCTTAACAAATTCTGTATTTATTGCCCAAAATGACTCATATTATTTAAAGTTACAGCCTATATACGTCCCCTTGATGAGCACAGGCCTCCCCTCATTTCTGAGAGGGTTTAGGGCAAGGAAATGTCCGCCGCGATGCCCCAATGCGTGTTGGCGAACTTCACATGTCTTCGAATATTTTTTTACTTATTTCTCAGACATGCAGGTTTCCTCACGATGTTTTCCTTCACCGCCGAGCACGTGATAAATCAGTACTTAAAATTACAATTAACAATTTCATTGAACCCGGGTTCGATCCTCGCCGGTACTGTGAAATTTGCAGCGAGCCCTAACCATCTTAGCTACCACGGCATATTATTTACAATACAAAATCTGGACCCGATGGATCCCTACCTACACATATCATGTACCTATGATCGAGTTATTAATAAATTATATTTACACTGTAAAAAAAATCTGGTATGAATTAGAAGTGAAATGAGTTTCACCGCCGACTAGAAAGGGCCAGCTGTATACATTATAACATAATATTCCGAAACGGCTCGGATACGTGCATATCTCGAAAATACTCGCTTTCTTCTTTTAAACAGGCAGTAAGTCCGGTCACTGAACCGAATTATAAATGAATAATCAAATGCTATTAATTTTTACCCGACTACGGCGAAGCCCAAATCTAAGGTAATATTTTTGACTTATAAGTATATATGTCCGTCTGTGCGCACGTAACTCTTTAATTTTGACAAATGTAAAAAAAAATTCTCAACCGATTCACTATGATTGCGCCTGGTCTATGATGTTATTTATGACGTCGAAATAAGGTAAATATGGTGGACATACATAAACATACATTGAAAAAGTTATGCGTTATGCGCGAGATACACCGCACGCACGCACACACACAAATAAAATTACAGGACCTAGTGTGATTCAATTTCAGTGTCACGTCCGTATTATTTAAATACTCAGGATCAACGTCTACGTGATTTCCGAGGCACGGGTGTGAAACATCGCTAACTCCTCTGCTACTGATAATTTCGTGACCGAAAATCCCAATAAACTGACTTTGACCCGGAATTCGAACTCGGGATCCGATGATCAGCAATTACCTCTAGCCTAAGGAGACTGATTAATGAATATATTCCAAATATATCGGAACTATAACATTACTTGTACATGAAATAGAATAGACCTTATCTTAGTTAGATCACTGCTATTGGGTTCTATTTTTTTTAATACATAATAGATTTTTTTAAAGACATTAAGGTATATGGATAGATGAAAAACTTTGTTATGCTGTAGCTGTAAAATAGAATAGCACTATAGTGTGGTACTTACCATCCTCTGCAAATGATTGGCCCCGTCCTTATATGGCGTTGTCTCCCAATGTTGAGCAAGATGCCGTGCTCCGTAAATGGAGTCACGCGGTCCCCACTGTCTGAAGGCTTCCTCGCCGTCGAAGAATATGAACATGAGGCTCAAGCGGTTACGTTTCAGAGCATCCAGCTGCTTGGCCATCACTTTCGCTAGGTTGATCATCATCGCGCACGGGACTGCGGAGTCGGTTGCACCTATTTTTTTGGTAATTTAAAATAATATAAATTATTTAGATTTTACACAGGCGTTTATCAATCAACAATCGCATCCAGCTTGGGCCTATACACCATCGGCCATGATTGACAACCACAGAACGGGGCATGATTGTCACAATCATTGCGCGCCTGTCCACACAATCGTGCATTCTACTTATTTGTATTGTCATCTGTCCGATTGTTAGACAGGCATGGCGGGTGACTGGTGACGAGATCTGGCAAATGTTTAGGGCGTGCATAGTCGAGGGCGTTTTTCCAGATCTGTGGAAGATGGGCAAACTCGTTGTTCTGCCAAAGGGTGGCGACAGGCCGCTCACTGACCCTAAGGCCTACCGCCCGATAACTTTGCTGCCCATATTGGGAAATATTCTGGAGCTCGTGATGATTTTCTGCGCTCCATGTCTCTACCGCGGAATCTCCAACGCACAACATGGCTTCACGCGTGGCCATGTTGTGCGTCGGAGTGATCCACAGCGACCGTCCTTAGTACCATCAACCGAATTGCCAACGGATCAACCGAGAATTACGCGCAACTGATCCTTCTGGACACATCTGGAGCCTTCGACAATGCCTGGTGGCATTTGGACTCAAGGCAAAGCAATGTGGCGTTCCACCGAACATATACCGTATTTTAACGAGTTACTTTATGGCGATTTATAAAGTAGTGTGGGACTGTTTGCTGGAAACCGGGTAGTGTGGAAGGTCTCCACGATGGGCTGTCTTCGGGGATCGGTGCTGGGACCAACCCTATGGAACCTCCTACTCGATGACCTCCTGAAGCTGCCAAAACCCGAAGGAGTACACTTCCTTGCTTACGCCGACGATGTGACGATCGTGGTCGAAGCATCGTTTCGTTCCGCAATAGAGCGCAAAGCGGCAGCTATGATCGCTGCCGTGTCCGAGGTGGGTATTAGTAACAGACTAGAGTTTTCTACTGGGAAGTCACAAACGATGACCTAAAAAGGCAAGTTAAACGTGGACCAATTATTAAGATGGACTGTGCAACGATCACGAGTGTTTCACAGGCAAGAGCCCTAGGAATAATTTTTTACGAGGCTAAGTCCTATCTGCAGCATGCATTATATATCGGCGAGAAAGCCGCTGCTTGCTTCGGGAAGATGTCGCGATTGTCTTCATCGACCTGGGGCATAAGATTTCACGCCCTTAGAGTCCTCTATTCAGGGACATATGTGGCAACGTTGACATATTATGCTGCTGCCATATGGTACCAACGCTCGTCCCTCTATGTTATCAGAAGCGTACTGATGAGGACGCAAATATCAGCTTTGGTTCTTCTCACGAAGGCTAACAGGACGGCTAGCAACACAGCGCTACCGGTGTTGGCGGGCGTATTGCCTGCCGACCTGGAAGTTTTTCGTGCGGGACGAGTCGACGAGGAGGGGACGGGTTTGGTCGACAAGGAGCGCAGGAAGAAAAAGAGGGAGATGATGGCAGCTGTCGTTGCCATTTGGCAGGACCGGTGGGATCCAAGCCAAGATGGCAGGGATCTTTACAAGATTTTCCCGGACATCGCAGAGCGTCTAATCTTCAGGTGGGTCGAGCCCGATTATGCAGTATCGCAGATTCTGGTTGGTCACGGGTGTTTCAAAGAGCGTCTCCTGAAATTCAACCTTAGGAGCTCTGGTTTATACCCCTGTGACTCAGCACTGGAGAATCGTGACCATGCTCTCTGGCATTGCGATCTGTACATCGAAGAGAGGAACGCATTATTGGACAGCCTACAAAGAACAGAAATAGGACCAGTATACTTCCGGGATTTAAGGAGATTTGCGCATGCATGGTATCACAAGAGGAAACAGTATGCGGACTGAAAAATACGACCAGATAGCTGCGAACGCGAAGTGTCGTCGCTGTGGAGTCACGCCACAGAAGGGGGAAAAGTGAAATGTAGAGAAAAGGAACGGAACAGAGAGATTTGTAGGGAGTCAAGCAAGTGCACGTGGGAAAGAGCCCAGACCAAGTACCGTGTACGTCTCCCGTTATTCGGCCCGTATGCCCTAAGGCGGGAAGGACCGTGGGATGGTGGAGAGAATGTCATCTGTCCGAGATGGACGTTGAAACAGTAGCAGCTGCCGCAATTTATTTAATTAGTTTATGATATAACTATTATATAAATGAACAGCATACAAGAGTGGTGACAAAAAAGGAAGAAAAGAAGGTGGATGTTAACTATATACCGAAATAGAACAAGGTAAGTTTATAGAGCATCGGCGTTCGGCAATCATGTACACGTTCAGACGATCATGGCCGATTTTCCTTTGATGTTTGTTCGAAAAACCGACAGAGCGGCCATTACGCTCGATCATGGGCAGTTATAGGGGATTTTGCCCTCTACACGATCGTGATTGCTAGAATTCGTCCATCATGGCGGATGGTGTATAGGCCCCATTAGAAGTATTTGACGTCGTCATCATTATTACAGCCTATCAATGTCCACAGCTGAACATAGGAATCCTCAAAGTATTGCCTTAGAGACGACATTTGCCATAGATACCACGCTTGGCAGGTGGATTGGAAACCGCAATTTCATATGAAAGAGACCTCAGAGAAGACATCTACATCTATCCTCGTTTGCGACTCAAAATGCAGATGACGTTGTCAGTCGTGAGGACTAAGATGGAATGCCTCTCTTCCAGTTTCCAGTTCTCTACACTCCCCATACGAAACACAGCAGCTTTAAGTTGCTATTTTATGTTGGTATTTTGTGAGAGCGTGGTCATTCCCCGGTCGAGCCGACCCATTCGTGCTACAACTATACTATTAATATAGCTGTAGCATGGCTCTACCACGTGAAAAAATCGTCGCCACTATACGGCAAAGTATTTGAATGAGGTATGGATTTCGAATTTGTTTTCATTTGTCTGTGGCAGCACTGTCGTCGCGCCACAAGCCAAAATACATCTAAGCCTAAATCCCGCTATCAAAGTTCCGAAATGAAAGCAGTATATATAGAATATCTCTGAACTACCACTCGGAGCGTTGACCGCTCCCCGGCCTGAACACATTGCCCGGCAGGAGATCTCCCCTTTTCCTTCTACGGCCACATGTCCATACATAACTTATGTTTATAAAACACCAAAATGGCACTGTCGAATCCTACACAGGGTAAGTATATAAAGAAAAAAATTTAAATTACTGCAGCAAATCCTCTTTGTATCAAAAATAAAGACATACATGAGATTTTAAAATACAAAAATAATTTGAAATCTCATTTATAATCGATTATTATCACTAACCAAAACAATACACTACTGGTCATACAGGGTCTTACTTGGCAGAATTGATTTTAACGTGGGAGAGCCCTGCTGCAGCTATATAAGTGGGATAGTTGTAGCACGAATGGGTCGGATCGAACGGGGAAGGACCACGCACTTACAGAATAACAGCAGCACGTGGTAAATCAGCACTTAAAATTTTTTACGTGGTAGAGCCATGCTGCAGCTATATTTCTGGTATAGTTGTAACACGAATGGGTCGGCTCGACCGGGGAAGGACCACGCTCTCACAGAATACCAGCGTAAAATAGCAGCGTAAAAATAGGAGCTGAACGCCACTGTGTTTCATATGGTGAGTGTAGAGAACCGGAGACCCTTTTTAATGGAAACGAGGCATTCCATCTTAGTCCTGATAGGTGACAATGCAACTGCATTTTAATTTGTAATCAAGGATAAATGTAGATGTCTATGGACCACAGCAACCACTTACCATCAGGTGGACTGTGTGCTCGTTTGTCACTCTTATCCTATAAAGAAAAATATAACAGAATTGAAATCTTAGTTTTTTCCCTTTGTCTACTCTTATTACAGCAAAGAGATACATTCTCAGCATCAGCTCTGGAGATGGCATAATGCATATTCTTAGACTACCATAAACAAAGATAAAGGTAAAAGCTAGTTACACATATCATATACAAATAGCATTGTTGTAGCAGCATAAGGGGATCTACTAAGTTAGTAGTACTAACCCATACCATTCTGTGGGTATTGTATCAGTTGACACAGGGTAATGAAACAGGAGATGAACAGCAGCATCTTTCTGATAACAACTTAAAATAATAAAATCTGTGGTTGTCAAACCACCTGCCAAGCGTTGCCACTATGGCAAACATGATGTACTATGATTTAATGATGGGTGATAGACTCTCTTATGCCACTATCACATGGCAAAATAACTTGACGGCTCCGTGGCGTAGTGGCTTAACAACGAGTTGCTGCGCGGAGGGATCGCGGGTTCGAATACCGCACGGAACAAGTATTTGTATGACCTACAAATAGTCGTTCCGGATCTTGAAGTTTGTCTTTGTGCAATTTGTTTGTAAACTACCTCCACAATACAGGAGAAAATCCTAGTGCGGTGGTAACGTTTTTCTTTTTAAATAACGAAAAAACTTATTTATACATCTAACTCACCCACAAAGACATGCTCTCTTGTATATTTACTGTCATAGTGACAAGCCAACACAAGGTATCTATCCGCATCAGGATTTAGCTTGGCGATAATATTTCTAAAGTTAAGTGTTCCAAACATTGGTGTTTCATCTGGAAACACATCTTCGGTGACTTGCCAGCCCAGATCTGTCATTTGTTTTACAATATAGTTGCCGACTCTCTCATGGTTTGGTGTACCCACAACTCTTGGTATCAGTATTTTATTTAATACTTTTTTAAAATGTGTCTGATCTGACATTTTTGCTATGTCTTTAACTTCATCATCTGTCAAATCATTTGCTTCATGGAAATTCTGAAACAATAAAGCATCCTCCCTATAGTCCAGATTTGGTTTTTTCGGATTATTATTTATTCCCAGATATGAAAAAATTGCCTCGGGGAAAGATATTTACAGATGACGAAGAATTGAAGTGAGCAATTTCTGCCTATTTTGAGGGCCTCGACAAAACATTTTTTGAGGGTATAAATAAGTACATAGTTTAAATAGTCTGAGTAGTGTATTAGGAGGGTTAGTGAGTAGCCAGTGTTACCAGTGTGGAAACAGCTAGGCTTGTTTACTTTAGCTATTTACATAGCATAATGTTGTATGGTATTTTGCTATGGTAATAATACATGACTGACACTTAAATTATATTTATTTTACAGAATAGGGCCATAAGCAATCTATAATTTAAAACATAGTCCCTCAGACTAAAATTTAAGGAAATTAATATATAAAATTTGACCTCTCAATACATTTATGAAAATTTAATTTAAAGTTACAGCTTATATAGGTCCCACTGCTGGGCACAGATCTTCTCATTTTTGAGAGAGTTTTAGGACAAGGAAATGTCCGCCGCGCTGCCCCAATGCGTTTTGGCGAACTTCACATGTCTTCGAAATATTTTTTTTCATCTTTCTCAGTCATACAGGTTTCCTCACGATGTTTTCCTTTACCGCCGAGCACATGCTAAATCAGCACTTAAAATTGCAATTAACGATTTCTTTGGTCCCGGCGGGGCTCGAACCCGGGTTGGTCGCGTACTGTGAAACTTGCAGCAAGCACTAATCATCTGAGCCACCACAGCTCAGATGTAATTTATGTACACAAAATTAAAGTAATTTGTATTGTGTAAATACTCGGAAGAGACACAAGCTAGTAGTACCAGTTACTCGACTGCACCGAGTCAGTAATTCATTATTGGGGCGATTACAACACAACATACAAAATTTGACCTCCACAAAGCTCAAAAATGTTATTAAACAAAGTTTGTATTAAAAGGGTTATCATAATATTAAGGAATTTATGGATGATGTTAGTCCCTGCCAGCCCTCCCCGTGTGCCCATTTGGCAATTAAACACGCCTTGTCTTTAATCTATGTTGTTCAAAGATAAAACGCTGTTTTAATCTTTGAACAACATAGATTAAAGAAAAGGCCGTAATGTAACATTTTCAAACGTTTTCGAATTGAACATTTTCGATGTTTTAATCGCTTTTTGTTTTGCCGCGTAAAAGGTGGTAGATATTAAAAAGTTTATGGTGTGAAAAACATGTATTGAAGGAGCACAGTCTAATAAACATACAGTAGGACGACGCCTTTAATCTCATAGTAAATGCCGACAACGTCTAGACAGCGTATGGAGGTTAGGGTTGTCACAAAAAAACAACTTTTACTAATTTAATTATTTATTTTAGATCTACATCGTCATCAACAGTATGATTACTAATATAAAAAATAAGTAACAATTTGTTCTTAGATTTTTCCTGAAAGTACTCAAAACGTTAATGGCACGCCTCACAACGTGAGGGAGTGCTCTACTCTCGATATGTGGCCATACCTCAATTTCACTACCTAAAATCGTTCTTATACTCTTAGCTAGACATCAAATCCATATTATTACTAACGTTACAATGACTACAGACATTGAATTATTAGTTTATTTTATAATTGATTCTTTAGGCTTTCGAAAGTTCTTCCAACTAAATCAGGTCTTCGAATAACTTCCATCCATAATTTGCATCTGAAATTTTTAAATACAATACTTATTAATAAATTTTCATAATTATCACCCCCAGAAACCTTAAAATTAACATCCATATTGTATTATTAAAAAAATCCACCATCTTGGATATGAAAATTGATGCCGTTTTCGTAATCAGCATTCCAAGAAACTTTGTAATTGACATCCATAACATTAAAAAAAAACATCCACCATCTTGAATTTAAAAATAAATACCATTTTCGTAATTAGCACCCCGACAAACATAAAAAATTGACCCCTAAATCTTATAATTTTATAAAAAACTTCGAAAAATCGAAGACGAAGCACTATAGTATAGTCTAAAACCTTAGCCTGTCCAACCACACGATTTAGATAAAGAAAAAAAATCAAACTTCGAAACAGTAATGCCCAGCGACTAGTACCTATTTTTACGTCCGCCATTTTTTTACGTTGGCAATTTGGCATGACATGATAAAGTATACATAATGTAAAAAATAGTAACAATATTTATTTACCTTTCTTCGGGATTTGGTGAAATCGCAGATCTTTATTTATACGAGATGACGACTTGCAATCTCTCTCAGCACACGTCGTATTTACCATTTTAATTATAAGTATCAACACAAAATTTGAAAATTATAAAAGCAAACGCGCGTTAACCCTGGAAGTCGTGTCCCGAACTACTAATACGATTGGCATGAACAGCTCGGGCTCGTCCTTCCCGCGTGTCACCCCTCACACCCCGCACGATTGCCCTTTCTAGACGTCTTCGTCGGACGACTGTATGCATTTATAGACTGTGGAAGGAGTCTGAGTTTTTAATTTCTTTTGATATAATGTTGTATTGTAATGCAAATAAAACAAATACCTTATTTCACTGACCTCTATAGTCTATACATACAAGTACGCTGGACTGGCTATACCATACAAAATGCTTCTGTCGATTTGAAGCGCCCTCATTGTCCGTCCTGGGAACTAAAATTGACATAATATGTCAAAGTCTGTTGTGTTATTTAAATCGTATCTCTGTATTTTGAACATTAAACTTAAAAAATGAAAGTATTTTATGTGGTTTTTATTGTTTGATTTTAGGTACATACTAAGAATTATTTTTAGTAATAGTGAGAGTGTGTGTAATATATAAAACTCGTTACCAAAAGGAAAGTGGGATAACATTCCACAAGTAAGTTAATTTACAGCTAATATTAAACAAATTAAAACTATTTGATAATATAGGTACTTAAAAATTTTTTACTTATCTTAATATCGTAATTAACAACATGTTTGGATTTTTATTACCGAGTTTTGATAAACAATAAAATTCAAGTTAAATTACCGAGTTCCTTGTCTATAATATTTATCGATGTTCTTTTCTACCCATATATGTTAACAACCAAAGTCGCCGACAACAGATAATTATCAAATTTTTATTAATTAACTGGTTTCCAACCGCACCTAGACTAAAATTATGGCTACAAAAGCATAAAAATTGTGAATTGGCGTCCGAAACAAAATGATTATGTTTGTTCTAAATACTTCACAGTCGACTGTTTTATTAGACATGAGAAACGCACCACTTTGAAACAGTGCAGTATACCCACAATATTTTCTGGTAGTACCAATACCAGTAAGTATATAAGTATTAGATTATTATTTCGAATGTTTTTTTTTATTTCTTCTCTCCTTATTTTGCCTCAGATTCAAGGGCCATAGCCAAGTGTAGAAAGGTCGCCTTATGATGACTTTGTGTTTACAAGATGTAAATTTGTTTAATCTGTTTAAATATGACCAATTTATTATATCAAGGGGATGAATATATAATGGAACTGCAAAATTATTAATGTCCTTAGTGAGGTTGCGGAGTTAAGGTGAGAAATAGCTCCTCCCTAAACGGGCTCACGGGGGGTTAGTAGCCGTAGCTTAGTAACCCATGGTAAACGTAGGGCGACTGACATGGCGGGCCCGAAGAGAAAGGCTGGCCCAGGGTGGCCACTCTGAGTGGGCTTGTCAAGCCCTTGGATATGTATTAGTGGGCTGCGGCAGGACTGGAGGAGTCTGTTGTGCAGGTGGAGTTGGGAGGCCGCAAAGGGCAGTGTGCCTTGTATTTCTGGTGTGCCTTATCTGAGAAGGAAAGAGGGAGGAGAAGTCCTCAACTAAGGAAAGGCCGCTATTGGGTGGCTGGTACTGGTGGGGCCACGGATGTGTTTGAAAGCGTTTCCGTGGCCCTGTCAATGTGGCGGCGAAGGTGGAACACCATGGGGTTTTACTAGGTCCGACATAATCCGTTCTTGCCCCCGCGAAGCGGGTATGCGTAGGCATTTCCTGATTTGAAACCCTGACAGGCCTCCGTCACTCGCTCAAAACCCTGCGTTATATGCCTACCGTTCTGTGTATCGCCCACGATACAACCGACATTGGGCTGCCGCACGCCTGTCTCAGCGCTTGCACCGCGCACGTTTTCCGCGCTTACTCGTCGAAATGCCGAAACCACGTAATTATTGTGCAGTGGATGGGTGTCAGTTCTAAAAACGAATGAAAAATTGTCATATTTTTCTTAACTATAAGATTACATCGAAACAACAGCATAACAGTGCTGTGATTTATAATGTGAGTAACAACCTGGACACCCAAATTATATAATAAGTCTTAAATAATTTTGACAACACCATAATGAATCGGCCTGGCAGCAGCGTGTTACAAATTTTACAAACCATTGATTTTCCCCCGCTTTGCTCCTGTTTTCCTCATGATTATTTATTAAAATTATTTACGCGATTTAGGATATTATCAACGATAAGATTTAATAACCGAGAATTCAAAGAAGGAAAGAAATGTATTAATTATTTTATAAAACTGAAACATATTTGATAAACAAATACAAAATATGGTTATTTCGCAAGATTCGTTTTATGACAATAATCATCAATAGGTACAACCCTACCGCATTCGTGCGATGACGCGCTTGCACGCGAGTCGCACGGCGGTCAACACAATCTCGACCCTTTACGCGCGTACTTATGGTACATTTTCTTCTCGCTGCGAACAGCAGATATTATTATTAAGATTTTGTAGGCTATTATAGCGTAGGTATTTTCGCTTTTGTATGGGAGTGATGTATCTGTTTTGTAAGTAATCTGTGACCCGGATCAAAATCCGTTCTGTAGTAACGAATAAAAACGTAGATAGACCAACGCAGCGTCAATCTTGGTTTTATATGAGGTATAAAGCTTGCGTCTAAGACTTAGGTATTAATTGATACATTTATTTATGGTATGGCATTATAATAAAATGATTCATAAATAGAATGG